GGCTCACCTATTTGTAAAATCTAAGTGACTTTAAACACAATAAAAACAGCACTATGTAGTTGGATACGACAGACATTACATTTTCTAATTGCATAGCTTTTGCACATAGATTTTCTTGATGGATGATGCGATGAGATATAATTTAGAAAAATTCTGTTCTCCCATTTTTTGTTTGAATAAAGAAATGACTCCCTTATTTTTTCCTGTCATTGCTGCCGCAACACTTCAGAAAATAATATTCAATTTAAACTAGACGAATTACATCGAAAAATATTTATTTATAATTTCTTCTAAACATCTCGCGGGCCGGATAGAAACTCTTCGAGGGCCGTAACTGGCCCGCGGGCCGGGGGTTGCCCACCGTTGATATAGATTATTGATTGTGTATTTATGATAAATGGATAAAGGAGAGGATTCCTTATTAAAAAATTATTCTAGTTCACTAAAGACATTGATTCAGCTAGTAATTATCCAATGTATGAAATGTAATTTTATGCTAATGAATCCTACAAAGATTGCTAGGGAAAACTTATTATTATATACAATTTTGACTGATTATATTATGTACAGTTATTATATACTTTTTCTTGCTGATATCACAAAATATATCTATTTATATGTAAGTATGAATACGTCCTTTGGCTCAAAAATAAATCATATTGGCTTATTCAATTGCAGTTAATGAATCACTCAAATTACAGTTTCCTAATGTCGTAAAGTTTCATTTGTCGCTTTTTTCTCTCCTTAAGCAAATGTCAATAGCAGAAGATTGCATCCAAAAATTCAATTCCAAACCATCAACATCCAAAAACTGCATTATAGTGAATACCTTCTGGTGGAAACAAGAAGGCTGACCTCAAAAAATTTGTTAATCATTTTTAAATCCTTTTTAAACATTTGACACCATCTCAGGATTGCACTGAGGCCATGGTGAATGGCTGCATTCTCTGGAAAGAACTTGCTGCCCAATGTACTTTGCACAAGACCAGATGATGATGATGATGAAGACATGTTTAAATATACTTTGACTATAATATGTGAAATTTTATTGTTTTTGTTATAGTTATCATTTTCTTGAGATAAATAGACATTCTTTTATTTTAAGTTATCTTTTTTGTAACTATTGCTTTAAGCCAGCTGGATGGCTGAGGCAGAGAGCCCAAGAATTTTTCATGGCAGTCTATCCTAGAAATATTGAGTTACATTCCTTGTTATCCAGCCACTCCCATAAAGAAGCCTAAAAAAGTCTCATTAGTGCCACAGGACAGAAAGAGTAAGATGTTTTTTCCCTTAACAATTAAAATGATAAATACATATATATAAACATTTCAGCAAGACTGTTTGGCTTAAAATTATCCATGTACAAATTAGCAAGTAATATTTAAAGCAAAGTTTAAACTGCTAATTTCAACTAACTATTCATTGAAACAGTGATAAATTTCATTTGGTCAAGTAAGGATCTGTATTCTTTAAAAGATATTGATTTATACAGCTCAATACTAAAATATTTTGCTAATGTCTTACCGATCTATTATTTCTTTCAATGCATCTTCTTCATCAGAAGTTGGTTTATTGTTTAATGTAGTCAAATTGTTTCTTAAGTCTCTTAGCCTGTTAAACATTGTAATTAAAAAATTAATTATATTTAAATAATTTTGTAATTTTATATGTAACTTACTTAGACATTCCAATTAGATGAGTATCAATATTTGGTACATTAAATGCATATTGAGCTGCAAGTTTTGCAATGTCAATCCCTATTTCCTGAGATAAAAATTTCAATATTAATTTTTGTAAGACTAATAAATATTTTATCTAAAAAATTTTAATGTTAAAATCAATATTATATACACAAATAAGTAAATAAAATAAAATAAAATAAAAAGCAATCTTTGTAATAACAAGTAAATAAGTTAAGATGCTACTTTCACTAATGTAAAAACTATGCATAAACCAAAGGTTACAGAAAATCTTAGTTATTTGCAATAATTTTGCATATGCAAATTCTAACAAGTAAGTAAACCTTAAATACACTTCACTTTTAAATTACTAAAGGAAATGAGATCATTTTCTATTCATTAAAAAAAATTGTAATTAACAATTAGATTACTGAAGAATTTGAAGACTATGACAAAAAATGTACACTCCGTAACCAATATCCGGCATGAAAAATACAAATATAAGTTGGCAAACGCTTTTGATGCCCCTCTCCTGGGCTCTTCTTCAGGCCAAATTTGCTGTAACTGGATTCTTATAATCGAATGTTTTTAAACCAGAACGTGCTCCACTTCTAGATGTTCAAAATATGGAAGGCAATCTCGTGCCATTTCAAAAAAATAATTTTTACTAGTGGGGATATGACGTGCGGATCCTATAATAATCACGTGTATAATATAACAAATTATGATTTGTCATCAAATAAATATTGCCAAGCTGTTGAGAGATTCATTTCTTCTTTAAAATCGATACAGGTTAATTTGCGATCTGCTTTGAATATCTCCATCGCTTCCAAAGTTCTCAGGTGTTCTTGATGATGGGTGGTATGGATAACTTGTGCCTCGTTAAAAATCAGGGGTATGTCCAGGTTTGTCGCATATGTAGATATGGGGGTGAAGAGGACCTTACTGAAGATCCACGAGAGATTTATTGGATCCACTGTTGTGATGATGTGGAGGAATGGTGTCGCAGATGTACCAGTTGCGCAGCCGTGAGACCGCAAACTCACAGTAGAGGTGTGTTAAGGGTGCACAATGTTGGAGCCCCATGGGAACGAATAGCGTTAGATGTTGCGGGACCGTTTCCTGAAAGTGAAAATAGAAACCGGTACTTCATTGTTGTCATGGACTACTTTACTAAATGGCCAGAGGTCTTTGCCATTCCCAAACAAGAAGCAGTAACTGTAGCCAATAAATTAGTGCATGAAGTATTCTGTTGGTTTGGAGTACCCTTAGAGATTCACAGTGATCAAGGCAGGAATTTCGAGTCCCAAATATTTCAGGAGACATACCGTGTGATGGGTATTCACAAAACCAGAACCACCTCATATCATCCACAATCCGACGGGATGGTGGAACAATTTAATCAGACATTGGAAAGGTACCTGGCAAAAGCCATAGAGACTTGGAAAAGAGACTGGGACAAACACGTTCGACCATTTTTGTTGGCATACCGAAGCGCGGTCCATGAAAGTACGTCTGTGATGCCACCCTTTGCAAACTATGGAAGAGAACTACGATTGCCCACAGATTTAATTACCAGTACCCCACCTGATAGTCCACATAGCATGACCGACTATGCGGACGATTTACGTCATAAGATGAATGACGTATATGACCACACCTGACAGTCCGGCCAACAAATGTCTGAAAGGATGAAGACCCGATATGACCAGAAGGCGAACAATCAAGGTTTCGAAGAGGGTTCCTTAGTGTGGTTACATAATCCTGTGCGCAGCAAGGGGAAGTCCCCTAAATTACAGCCGAAGTGGGATGGGCCATATTGTGTCATGACTAGAATCAACAATGTCACCTATCGAATACAGAAGAGGTCAAGAACTGCTCCCAAGATTGTTCATTTGGATCATTTGGTGCGGTACTATGGGTCTAACGATGCTCAGGACAAGCATGCCTTAAGAGGACAGCAGTGTCACGCCAGCTCCGGGGGAAACTAGCACCATGGTGCAGAGAGTGGCAAAACAAAAAAGAACAATTCAAAAAAAAGAACATTGGAGATGTTTTTCTTTTAACGAGAGATATAGTTTTTGTTGTTAGTGTATCTAAAGAGTGTCAGTTTCGGTAAACTGTATTCTGAATTTATATCCCAAGCCCCACAGCTCGTAACAGTATTATGTACTGTACCTCTTATGTGTTCATATATAATTTGTTATATTTAACATAATAAATTTATCATGTAAAATTGACCAACAAATTAAAGTGATTTTCATACTGCCATAAGAGATTGAGATACAAACAAACAACATTGCTAAACCCTATGTACTATAAAGCTAGATACTGATGCTGAATTCTATCGGGCTAGACATGGCTATATTACTATATAAATTATGCAACCAATTTGGCATTAGAGGGATGCATTAGGTGCCATCTAGTTCCAAATTGGTTGATTTATTAAGAGATGGCACATAACACCTCCCTCTAGTGCCAAATTGGATGCATAATTTATTTAGTATTTTATCCATGTCTAACCTAATAGAATTCGGCATTGGTTGGTGTCTAGATTGAGATACTTTTAATAGTATATTTTAATAGTATGATTCTTTTAATAGTATATTCAAAGTATCATTATCCATCACTCATCTACGGATTTATTTTAGGTCAGAACCAACATTTTACAAAATTATCAAATTCAAGCTTATTTTTTGTAAGATGTTTCAATATGTACTTTTACTTTGTGGCTTTCGATAGTTCATTATTTTCTGTGATATTCTGATTGTGAGAAAAATAATTTTCTTTTATCTGATACATAGTGAGATTTGACTTTTAACTATGTCTATATTACTTAAAATATTGAGCACAACATAAACAAAATCATTAAATGATGTATACATTCAAATTAGCAATTTTCTTTTTTTTTACCTATTTGATGAGCAAGTTTTGTATGAAATTAAAAAACAAAAAGTGATAATTAATTGGCACTTTATACTATTACAGTCAACTTTCCTTAAAACAAACACCTGTAAAGCAAACTTTGTCCTTGCCCTGGAAAAGTGACATAGTCACAATGTTAATTTTCACACGATAAAGTGAACAAAAATTTTACCAGAATTTGTTAAATCAAATTGTAAATTATTTTCACAACCCCAAGAAATATCCCTAATTCCAATAATGGTTGCTTTTTACACCTTTCAACTTGGACAATGAAAAGTGGTACTGTAATAAATGTTCTATTTAGAGTATAATAGATTTTCTTTTAGTAAGCAAAGATGGGTTCGACCTGTGATTGTAGAGCAATTCAGAGCTGTTTTTAGCAGACCATTTTACTATACTCAGAAAATAAAGATTAAAGTTTAAGGATGCCCACTCCTTTAACTGGATGTGGTCCCATGCAAATACATGCTAGTTTGCATTTCAGGGAGTACACACAGTGATTCCACCAGGTTTTGCTACTTTTTTTAATCTTTTGGAACCAAAAAATATTTTCTACTTTTTCGAACAATCTTTAACAAAAAAAAAAAAAAAAATCAGATTTCTTTTAGCTTTGTTTTGTTTAACCACTCATATATACTGCTCCATTCTTAAATGGAAAATACTGTCTCCTCCTCATTTTGATTTGCAAAATCATTTAGAACATTAATTTGTTTTTGCAAATAAATTTAATTTTATTTAAGTTAATTTACTAAAATAATTCAAATATTATAATTTAGTGTCCGACGGGATGGTGGAACAATTTAATCAGACATTGGAAAGGTACCTGGCAAAAGCCATAGAGACTTGGAAAAGAGACTGGGACAAACACGTTCGACCATTTTTGTTGGCATACCGAAGCGCGGTCCATGAAAGTACGTCTGTGATGCCACCCTTTGCAAACTATGGAAGAGAACTACGATTGCCCACAGATTTAATTACCAGTACCCCACCTGATAGTCCACATAGCACGACCGACTATGCGGACGATTTACGTCATAAGATGAATGACGTATATGACCACACCTGACAGTCCGGCCAANTTTTAATACTTTTATACAAATCCACTTAGCAGTATATTTAATCTATATTATTTTTACAATTCTATTTCTGTCAGTCACATTAAAAATATCTTTCTCACAGATTTCTGCAAATGTTAAAGTAGTTTTGAATGAACACAGTCATTTTTTTTCATAAATCAATGTTACTTGCTATTTAAAAGGCTGTACTGTAATCATACTGTACTGATGAGTTATTATTAATCACTTGTTTCATTGGACTGGTAAAAAAAACAACAAAAAAATTAAATCATGGATGAAGGGAATAAACTGGAAATTTGATGTTAATTAAGTCAAGTCATAAAACAGAGGAGAACTTATACTTTTCAATATATAGAATCTTTTAAGTCCAATATAAATTTATTTGAAAATGTGAATTTTCAAATGGCATAAGTATTTGTAAGTGAAAACTGGTATGTGAACTTTGTGTGGCAAATTTAGCATAATAGAGATATGTTATTTATTTATTTATTTACAGTATAACTGGCAAGCAATGTTGTTAGGACAATGTTTGCCAACCCTTATACAATGAAGCAACAGACCCAGTAAAATAAATAAATAATGCAATAAAACAGAAATAAAACAAATAAAATAATACTAATTACCATTAATTTAGGCTTAAATTATCTTTATGCAAGATAAAGTAATAATAAATGCATATAAAAAATAAATTTAAAATTACAAAAATTAAAGCATATAAATGCCTGATGAAATTTCTATATATAAGAAATTCAAACTTTCTTTTAGAAATTAGTTTCTTTTTTTATACAAGCTAATCAATCTCAATTCCTTTCAATTATAATACTGTTTTATCATTCTTCATATTTAGCCATTTCCTTAGTAATGAATGTTTTTAATTAATGATTCTTTAATTTGTTTACACGAACTCATGGATTGCACTAGGGTGGAACATTTGCCTGTTTTTCTTGCCTATCTACCCATCCATCCTGAAATAATTTATTCAAGTTCAGCTATTCTGACCATTTTTGGGAGGTTTCTTTAAATATGATTTGTTTGATTGCCAAGTTATTACACATTCTCACTAAATGCTTTTTATGCTTATATATTTTACTGAAATCAATCACTAAATTTTAAAAATTAGTTTGTTTGATGATAAAATGGTGCAGATAATATGGTATTTGCCCCACTAAAATAATGTTCTGTTTCACCATCCTCCTGAAAATTCTAGGGCAATTACTGCATAAATTACCTAACAATTTAAATAAATAAATCATATTAAAGAGATTGCACAGATAAACATTTTCAGGTATTATAAATTTACAAATACTGTATAACAATATTCTCAAATTTAAACTTATGTTCTATAATAATTAAGGTGTATGATGTCAAAATTTAAGTTAATATTTTATAACAGTCTTAAGAAATTAAGGCCTGTCATGATCAAAAGAAAACTTAGTATTACCTGGCAGTATAAAGCAGCATTTCTACAAGAAATTTTAATTGGTTCTATAACTGGATGCCAGTTAGGAATTTCTCTGTTTGTCAATAATCCCATGCCTAAAATACCTGCATTTATAATTCCAAGATTCTTTGCCTATAATTTAAAAATTATTTTAAAGCACATAAATGTATTTTGAAATTAAATTTTAAAAATATTATTACCTTGAAGTAAGGTAAGTATTCTAATAATGACTGATCAAAGGGTGTGCAACGACAATATGATAAAACTGTGTCAATGTGTATTTTGCTTTTATCTAAAACAGTTCTGAAATCAAATAAAAGTATATTTGTTATATATATTTTTAGAGTAATATATTATATTATTATTATTATATTATAAAATTATTTAAATCAATAAAAGATTTCTTAAAAGTTTGTGGTTATTTTAATTATTTATAAGTCTACTACAATAATAAATTATTGAATTAGATTATAGAAATAATCAGTAAAATTAATTCAGAATTTTATTAGTTATTTATTAATAAAACTATTTTTACAAAAGATTAAATAATTAAAAAGTAAAATTTTTTAAATACTATTAGACTTTTTACCAAATAATCATTATTAATGTATTGCCTTAAATAATAAAAGCAAAAAACTGACTACATATGAAATAAAAAATAACTAAGTTATGTATAAACTGCAATTCTATTTTATTCTATGATGCTGATGTGGAGTTTTGGAATAAAACCAAGGTATATAAACATGAGCATTATCAATTATCTATATTCAACTAAACCAGCTGTATTTCTTACTTTAATTTCTTTATGAATACTATATATGGCTTTCTTTTTTTTACCTCTATCAATTTTTAACTTTATTTAATTATATCAGTTTCAAAGTGAATTGAATTACATTTTTCAAATGCTTTTTCTATTACAGTATTTTAAAATTATAATCATTTCTTTCATATATTATGAGAGCCTTTCAGATCAGCTAAAGGCTTTTTTACACAATATGACTCTTGCTGACATTTTATCACATCCAAAAACATGTCAATAAAATTTGTCAACAATTCAGATGTTTACACAATGCACTGGAATATGATTTGCAAGTTTTTCTTAGTATGTACAAGAGCATTTATTCCTCTCAAAAGTGAAAGAATGCAATCTAATGTGTTATTCCTATTTTCTCATTGATTAGTTTGACAATGTGACAATTTTTAATTTTACAAATTTTACAGATACAAATTTTTTTATAAATTACTGTATTTATTTACTCACTTACAAGATGATCTCGCACATAGGACAAGGTGTAACTTTAAAGATCAAAATAAAGAAAATTAGATTTACTAATACAATTTAATTTTATTTTGTTTAATCACAAATAAAATGTCAACTGCATGTAAATGCACACATTGTCCTGCAAAAATTACTGGCATTTTAAACCTTAAGGAAAAATCTTGTAAAATTGATGACATAATTTGTTTATGTAAAGCTGGACAATTGGGAACCTTTTTTGCCAATTCTTAACAGTTGAATCCACTCTCCGTCAATTACACTTATGTGTTTCTTTGAATTCTGATTTGAATTCTGAATAATCATCTGTTTTCACATGGGGAATGGATTAAAACTTATATTGGCTCCCGTGTGATTTTGGAATTTCAAACTGGAATTCAATTCAAAAGCTTTGCTTTCCTATTGCTTTTCATCTTTACTCCTGACAATACACATGAACGATTCAAACGACTCAGATAAAATACTTTTGTATTTAAACACAAGGGTGAGCATCTGGTAAAAAATGCAAACACATGGTTCACAAAATTTATTGCAAAAATGCAAAGAATCCTTCACTTGCGCATATTTTTTGAAGCAATGAAAAATGAAAAAAAACCTTGTCTTATATATGAGTAAATACGGTAATTTTGCATAATAAAGTTGAAAATTAATTAAACTTTACACTGAAAAATTTTCTCATGAGTTATCGTATTTTTTAATTACAAATAGTACTATTGTAAGATTTTATCTTGGCACAAATTAATGTAATTTAGTATCATATGATATAAATGAAATAAAAGACAATATTATCAAATATAACAGAAATATTATTTAATAATTATAAAATATTTGTGGCCTTTGAGTATTATTAAAAAATTTATACATTTAGATAAATACATTTGTAAAATCAGTTAAAAATATTGAGAAATCACATGTAATTTGTGTAAAATTAATGGTTGATAAATTTTGAATCTAATTTTGCACATCTTTATTTTATAAATCATCTGGACTACTATAATTAATATTAATTTAAAAAAAATTAAACTAACTGTAAAGCTTGAAGAGAATATCCTGTAACTCCTATAAATTTAGCTTTTCCAGCTGCTTTAATTTTCTGGAGAGCTGGTAAAGTTTCATTTATAATTATTTCTGGATTGGAAGCAAATTCTAAATCATGAACCTATATAAAAAATAATTAGTCTTTTAACTTATTAACACAATTAAATAAAAATTTTATTTAAATTTTGATAAATTATGGTGTAAACTTTATAACTTCCTAATAAATAGATAAATTTATAATAATAATTTTTAGTTTGCTTAAATTTTAAAATCACTTTAAAAAATGTTAATACTTGAAAAAAGCTTTTATAACTATGTTTATATGTAAACAAGAAATTTCTTCAATAGACAAAGAAATTAAATCATAATAAAAAGGAATATAACAATAAAATATAGATCAGTTTAAAGATGTAAAATAAGAGAATGGAACAACAAACTGAAAATTACAACAAGAAAACAGGTAAAGTAGCTTCAGCATCTTTAACAGAAAAACTGAATATGGTTAAGATGCTGGACATATTAATTTTTGAACCAATATGATTCATAAATATTCTAAAATTATTCATATATATATATATATATACATATATACTAACAGATAAGCCCAGCATTGCTCAGGCAAAAAGTAATGATAGTGAAGATTAAGACTATTACATTAGAGCCAATCTTACCCGTTTTTACAGAATGCAAGAATTAGATCCCCATGTTTCCAGACTAATTAGAGAATTTTCAGATGGGTCTAAAAATATGTTCGATATCCCACAAAAATGCAAAAAACTGCATCTGCATCTGTAAATCTTGCACGTTGCTTTCTCTTAACACTTCCATTGTCGAAGCCTTAATCCTGTCCTTCCCCCGGGGGGGATGGACAGGATTAAGGCTTACATAAGGACACTTCCCCAGGGGGGGAAGTGTTAACAACTCACTCCCGCTGGTGCAATTTCGAAAAATCCCTTTTTAGTGTATATTCTCGTGACATACCCTATTAGAACGCAATGAAAAACGCAAAAAACCGCATCTGCGCTTGTAAATCTTGCACATCGCTTTCTCTTAACACTTCCATCATTGAAGCTTTAATCCTATCCCTCTCCCCCAGGGGGAATTTCAAAAAATCCCTTCTTAGTGTGTGCTTTTGTGACGTACCCTGTGTACCAAATTTCAACTTTCAACTCCTAGCCATTTGGGCTCTGCGCTTATTATTATTATTATTATCAACCCATCTCGATTATATATATAGATAAATACATATACACAACCCCAATAAAAAACCTTGGATAGCATGTTATTTTAATCAATCACTAGATCAACAGTGGGCAACCCCCGGCCCGTGAGATCTTTAGAATAAATTATAAATAAATATTTTTTGATGTAATTCGTCTAGTTTAAATTGAATATTATTCTCTGAAGCATTGTGGCAGCAATGACAGAAAACAATAAGGGAGTCATTTCCTTATTTAAACAAAAAGTGGGAGAACAGAATTTTTCTAAATTATTTATATCTCATTGCGTCATCCATCAAGAAAATGTGAAAAAGCTATGCAATTAGAAAATGTAATGTCTATCGTATCCAACTACATAAACACAATAAAAAAATCAGCACTAAGTCATCGAGAATTGCTAATTGATCTTGAAAGTGAATGTACAGATGTTCAATATTATTGCCAGTCCGTTGGCTCTCGAGAGCAACCATATAATTTGAAACACAAAATTAAACTATTCATGGATATGAAAGGAATTCCCATTGAAGCATTAAATGAGGAGAAATGGTTGTCAGACCTAGCATTCTTTGCTGATATTACAGGACACTTGAATGTTTTAAATGAAGCCTTACAAAAGCAAAATCAAGATGTGACACAATTATATGGACATATTAAAGCTTTCAGAAGTAAACTACATTTGTGGCAATCCCATATAGAGAAAAATAATTTTTTTCATTTTCCACCATTATCTAATTATCGTGACAAATATAATCTTCAATTTTTTGTTAAAAAAATCAAAGATGTTTTTTCAGAATTTGATCGATGTTTTCAACATTTCGACAAGAAAAATATTTATTTTCAATTATTTAACTCGCCCATTTCCATCACTGAAATCGAAACTGTTCCAGAAAAATTTCAAATGGAATTACTGGATCTCAAAGAGAGGGTACGTTTATAAGAAAATTTTAATTTTACACCTGTCCATGAGTTTTATAAAAATCTGTCAGCTGAAGAATTTCCAAATTTATTTGATAATGCGAAATATATTTACTCTTTATTTGGCTCAACATATCGATGTGAATAGCTGTTCTCCAAGACAAATTACTTGAAATCTAAGTACAGAACCAAAATAACCGATAAGCATTTGGAAAACAACTCATGTTTAAGTACCACACAAATTGAACCAGATATTTAAATGCTAACAAAATCTTTGCACCACCAGATGTCACATTAAATAAATACTTTTTCACTTATACACGTATTTTTATGATTAATAGTTATTTTTCCAATTGTTTGTAATTTTTTGAAAACGATAAGAGAAATAAATGTAGTAATTAATTTCTTTTTTTATATTTATTTCATATTTGCGGACTAAAAAATTACAGGTCACAAGAAGGTGTCAATTAACTACTACAGGCCTGCGGAAAAAAAGTAAAATTTTTCTGGCCCATGTTATAAAAAAGGTTGCCCACCCTTGCTCTAGATTATCCTTCAATAATATCAAACAGAAAAATTTTGTGCACCTATAATTATTTTATATTAGTAAAGTTTTATTATAACTGAAGATTTTACATAAAAAATTTTTTTATGTTAATAACACAAAAAAGTTATGAACAATTGAAAAAAGTTTGGACAAAGCCTTTTCTAACAATTAATACCTTGGACAGTACATTAATATTTAGTTATTTCATCTTTGGCTTATATAACAGAGTTCTTAGATCATTCATCGTATCAACAAGAGCCAAGCATTCACTTGAAGTAATTTCACCCCAAATTTGCTTGATTTTTTGCTTTAAACCCATCCACACCATTCCTTAATTTAATTAATTTAAGGACTTTTTCTCAATGTTTTTTTTAATTTTACCCACATATTTTCTATAGAGGAAAGGTTGGGACTGCTTGATGAACATTTTAATGTGGTCTTATTATGTTGGGCCAGCCAAGCCTTGGTGATTTAGCAATATGGCAACTTGCACCATCCTGCTAGAAAATAAAATGTCCATGCTATTGAAATTTTTTAATGATGGTAATAAGTTTCCTCAAGAATTTGTTGGTATTTTGCTGCATTTACTGATTCCTCAATGAAATACAAAATTCCTTCACCTTGGGATGACATGCAACCTTATACCATAACACTTGCTGGGAATTTTACAGTGCACTGTAGACAATCATGATGGAATGCCTCTTCTCGCTTTCTAATGACTTTTTCTATTGCCTCTGGTGCAGACTTCAAACTTTACCTCATCACTAAAAACAACCTGCTTTCATTGTTGTTGTGTCCAGATTTGACCTGTTAATGTTAAGAAAAAAGAAAAAAAAAAAAAAGATTTATTTTGCAAGTTCTTTCAACTGTCTGAAACTGTCCTCTTCTGGCAGAATTGTTATTAGAGCTTCCAGAGAACAAGACATTTGAATTCAAGAAAAAGAATCCAAACATCAACTAATGGTTTTTCAAAATTGTTTGTCCTGCATATGCACAGAAATTTAAATTATACATGTACAGGTTACAAAAATTATACATTAATACAAAATACAATGAAATGTAAAATAAAACATTAAGAATAAATGAATTAAAATAAAGTACATAAATAATAATGAATTAAATAGAAACTTTGTTTAGGCAGTTTGTAGCAGTCCTGGGAATGAGCTACAAAAGCCTGAAAGCACTAGGAACTTTTTAGAATGTCTGCAGTCTAATAAATAAAAACTAAATGTAATTGTTGTATGCATTTTTTAAAATCACTTTTACAGAGAAAAAAATATAAATTTTTTTAAAATTAAATTTTAAAAAATAGTTTTTGTTTATTAATCATAATTTTAAAATATTAATTTTGAAATTTATATTGATATGTAAATTCATAAAATTTATGACAATACTGACTATTATACAGAATTACATGTATCGTTAAAATATAAAATATTTCATTTAGCTTTTTATTTTATACTTATAAAACTATGAAATTATTGTATTATTTAGAAATTGTAATCTTGATTGCTTAACTTGAAAAATTAAATTCACGTCTAATCTAATTTTTAGATAATCTGTATTTACCTGGATAACATCAAAATAATCAACACCAATTCTCTTTAAACTCTCCTCAACACTCAAAAGAGTGCGTTTATATGAAAAATCAAACATGTATTCTTTCTGTGGTAAATAACGTCCAACTTTTGTTGCTAAATAATATGACTCACGTGGTACATCCCTCAATGCCTACAAGTAAATATATAATAAATAAAAATAATAAACTATTCATATAATTTTTTATATTTCACTAATTATATGACGACTTTTACACAAATATTTCTCAATTCAATATTTTAAATTTATTTTATTATAAAACATCCCTTAATGATATATTATGAATGAAATAAATTAAAATTGATAAATTTCATTATACATTTTTAAAAATTTTAACCCTCGGTTACGCGCGCGGGGTTATATAGAACCCCCGGCGTGTTTAAACGCGTGTATTTTTTAAAATTTTTTGTGTTTAAAAATGATGCCCTCANTAAAACAAGTTGTTTGGACTATTAAAAGGGAAAGCGGTGTTCCTACTGGGATATTTTAAAGCAAGTTTTTGTCATTTCTTGTTTCTTGTGTTAATAATTTACAGTAAATTGATTAACATATGCCATTTTATAATGAAAGTTAGATTTACCCCTTCAATTTATTCTTGTACCCTAGGGGTACATGTACCCCAGTTGAGAACCACTGATTTAGGATCAGGGAATGGATTCACTTTCCATTATTTCTAATGGGAAAAACTGATTTGAACTTTGAATGATTCAGAGTTCAAATGGACTCCTGGAATGAATTAAATTGGAAGTACAAAGCATCACTGACTGTATTTGTATGGATATAAGAATATATGTTAAAACATTGAAAAATGAAGTTTTAAAAATATAAATATGACTTTAAAATGATATACTGTATATTTACTTTTCCAAGTATAACTTCAGCTTTTCCAAATCCATACCAGGGAGCAGTATCAATATAATTAATACCACAGCAGAGAGCTTCATGTACAGTTTCTATTGCTTCTTCTTCATTAGTATTATTTACAAGTTGAGAACCTCCTGCAAACAAAATATGATTTTTAATTAACATTAAAAACTTATGAAATTAATTAAAGTTAATAAAACAAATATTATAATGAAACTATTTTAGACTAATTTCTAGTCAAAAAGAGAATTCAGAAAAGATTTAAAGGTTTTATTGGAGAAAAACTACATTATCATAATTAAAATTCAAAATAAACTACCAGCTTAAAAATCAAAAACCAGCAGAAATAGTAAAAAACCAGATTTTAGCAGTTGTTATTTGTATTAAAATGCTAATTTGGTTTTGTCCCATTAACAGGTTGTTGAGCTTAATTGTTAAGTAAATTATTTGGATACACAAAATTAAAATAGTGATAATTATTATTATTATTTACAAAAAGAATAAAATATTTACCAAAACTCAATAGAGATACTTTCATTCCAGTATTTCCAAGTTCATTGTAAATCATGTTTTCTTGTAATAATTTTTCCATATTTCAATTTTATGTTAATTTTTATTTCAATATTACTGATCCCTAGACTTCACAAAATAAAAAGGTTAATATTCAATAATTATTTTAAAATACTTATTATTATTATTATTATTTAAATATATATTATAATATATATTTGTTTTAAAAACATATATTATAATATATGTTTAATATATTAACATTTTTAAAACATTAAAGACACATACTTTTTATAGAACAGTTAAAGCTGTTATTATAACACTGTTTGACTAGTCATTAAATTAATTAATATGATATCTATCTATAGTGTACTGATATTAAAACAATAGTAAAGTGCAATAGATAGATATCATATTAATGACTAGTCAAACAGTGTTATAATAACAGCTTTAATTGTTCTATAAAAAGTATATGTCTTTAATGTTTTAAAAATGTTAACTATAATAATCTATAAGTTATTATTTAAATCAGAGTTTATAAATTGGTGAAACAAAATTTGGTTGGTCAAATAAACTGATAAATGTAAACAGCATCTTGTGTGCTTTGCTCTATGTGACCTGTTTTGTATGTATTAATAATCAACACAAACAAATCAAGCATCTTAATGTAAAGATTTATGGATCAATAATGAAAATTGATGAATTAGTGGAATTGAAATCAGTAAATCAATCAATAGAAGCAAGAATCAATATGAATTTGTAATGAGCATAATCCATACACCAATTTGTATTTAAAGTATCTAGATAGATATTACATGAAAAGAAAGCTACTGCAATATTCTTCTAAAAGTATAAACATTACTCTTTAAACTCATGTGCTGATAGATTTCAATATTTACATGTAACTTAGGAATATATTAATAATTTTATGAAAATATTTATTTTATAACTACTTTATACTGTTTAAGCATAAATTTACATTATTACAAAAATTATTTTATTTTTTTTTCTGCAAGAAATTAAATATATTTCTATTGCTATAAATTTTAAGCTTTAGAACCATATGGTTAATTAAAAGTCTGATAGATATTAAAAATATTTTATTTTCCCTTCATAATCCATATGGAATTATATTTAATTTAATTACAGAAAAACTTAATAAAACTAAGTTTTACAGTAATATGAATCTACATTTCAAGGAATATTCAGATATTCAGTAACTATGAATCACACACACATACATGTTAAATGAATTGAAATTCCTAAAATTATAGTAAAATATGTTCAATATATTCATATAATTTTAGGAATTTCTTATTAATATATGAATTTAAAAAAAGATGGTTTATACTTTTGAAACATTAACTCTTTCTATATGGTATCTATCTAATACACATTATTAACATGTATTTAAAACATTTAGACATTGACAAATACCATAAAACAAATACAACATGCCAATATTTTTAAAATTAATATTGACAAATTATATAGTATTTCATACAAATTCAAAATTATTCTATCATCTTTATTTCAATGATTTATTCATACCCATTAATGATCTACCAATCTTTTTACATTAAAAGTATATAGTATTAAAGATAAGTCAAATTGAGCAAAATAAAGAAGCACTTATTTACACTTTATACCATTTTATATGATGAATAAATGGCAAGCTTTACATTTCAATAAAAGATCTGTTTACTAGTAGTAATTCAAACACAAATTATTATTGTATTTATTTTCAGGCACTTGGCAATTTTTATCATCAAATTTTATTTAGTTGACAAATTTTATTTAATCAACTAAATAAAATTTGATGATAAAAATTGCCAAGTGCCTGAAAATAAATACAATAATAATTTGAGTTTGAATTACTACTAATAACTACTAGCACGGTTTCAAAGTAGCAGAATCTGTTTACTATTTTTAAAAGTTACAAATATGTATATATTGAGAAATAACTTATCTATGTGGAGTTTTCTGATTTTCTCCACGTCTCTAATGCCTAAATAGGAGTCAGTTACCTTAAGTTAAAAGACACCGGAAGGCATTTCCCTCTCTTTCCGCGAGTAATTTCGTATGGTCAAGCAAAAAGCTTCGGAGGATGAGACTACGCAATAATCTCCATATTAACCGCGATATCTAAAAGAGAGAGAGAGAGAAATAACTTATCTATTTTTCAAAATTCCTGAAAAATATACAGCAAGATTGCAGCTCTGAATGAGGGATTTGCGATCCCCTAGACGAGCAAAAAAGTCAAAGGAACTACACCTGTATATGCGTTCGAGATATTCGTCTCCAAAGTTTTCAGTACTATTGCCTATTCTCCGCGCTTCAGTACTATTGCCTATTCTCCGCGCTTCGCGTCGGTCAAGGCCAGCGATAGTGAACCTTGATCTCTGCAAAACATATAGTCGGGTGCTGAAGTGAGAGCGATAGCGAGCATCTTATTGCACAGGTGGGGCTAGTCCCCATATCCCAACTATATAAAATCAAGTATTCCATCAACAGTCAACTGGTCTACTCGAAGCCCACGAACAGTTGGTCTCTGTAGTAATCGAACGTTTTTTTTTTTTATTCATCTGTAAATATCGTTAGAATATTTGACCATCTGGCTGCCTGTTAAACACGCGATTGGCTTAGCGGAGCGCGCATCGTTACTCCGATCGCTCCCCGGAAGTAGTCAGTGAAAGGTTGCGATTCGCGTGTTCTGTTAGCCGTCTCTAGAAAGGTCAAAAACAGTCGATTTTTAGCAGTTTTGAGAAATAGTTCCAAAAATTTTGACTTTTTAAATTTTACCCCACTTTTTAGGGTGTCCAAAATTCCAGATAGACTGATTTCGGGAGCTATAATCAAGCGTAAAGGTCACATGTTAATCATTGGTTCTTTTTGCTCCTATGAACATGGTCTACAGCTCTTATAAGATCCCAACCGCATCATTCTGAAGTGCAACTGTACCAAAAATACAGTATTTGTTTATTTTATTTACTTATTAATGTGTAATTAACCTTCTAGCAATCTTCCGACAACACATTTCATTTCATATCAAATACAAACAATCCTATACATCAGCGACGCCCGCAGACTATACAAAAGGCAGGCGCAATATGTAAAAACGGGCACCATACATTATGCAAGAAGCTTTGAACTATGATTCAAAGTCAGATCAGCGCTCCCACAAAGTGGCACTGGTTGCAATCGGGCTAACTTATATACTTCTTAACAAATTTATCTGGGAGGATTTGAAAATTCGCTATTTTATTCCAATCGAGATATTTTGAAAAATTATTCACGAATTCTTCGTCTAATACTTGATATTCTGAAATTAAATCCCATTTTGCGTGTGTAATATGTTTTTCAATGAAGTAGGAAATATATAGGCTAATTTTTCCACATTAATTCCTAGTTTAAATTATTTCCGAATTCATGAACTCGCGAGCTAAGCTAGTTCTTTGACTTATAACATCCTACTTAAAATAATTTTTGAAAGATCAAATACTATTTTCGTCTATTTTTCTCAATCAATTGATATAATGCATTTGTAATCTATTAAAAAAATTCATATTAATTAATTAAGATATATACATTTTTAAAATTTTTTTATACGTATAAAATACAGCATACATTTTAATAGAGGTTACAATATTAATTTACAAAATACAATAATATTGATTGATTAATATTTTTTAGTACAATTTCTAAGAAAATTCAGTTTTATTACAATTACATTTTTATAAAATTTTTATTGCACAATGGTACTGTACATCTTATTACTTACTATAAAAAATTTACATTTATATATTTTATTTTGTGATAATTTTAATGATGCTGCTTTATTCCCTGCCTGTTTTAGGCAAGGATATGTTTTATTGCAAACATCATGTACAGTATTAAGTAAGTTTTAGAATTTTGTTTTCTCTTGTATATTAAATATCCATATTGAAAGGATATCAAAGAATCTGTAAGAATTAAAAGTAAAAAGTATAATGACCAAGTGATATTACATCTATCCCATTATATAAATTTATCGTAAAATGGGGGGAGGATATTTTTTGAAGATGTTGTCAGTACATGATTTTTACTTTTAATTCCGTATTGTTGATGTCTTGTATTTGTAATAAAACCTCCCTTATATTTTTCATGATTGAAAGTTTATACAACAGATTTTTTTAAAATTCCTTTAGCTGTTTTTTATTTTGATTGTCGAAAATATAAGAATACATTTTTGGTTTAAATGAACAAATTTCAATTATTGGTTTTGATAAAGTTTAATCTTTAAAATATCCTAATTTATTTTAGTTTGTTACATTATATAATTTATGAGTTTTTAGATAGTTGCTAAAATCAAAAATATGGAAGTGATTTAAAGTCGTCATGAACATTATTTGTGTAAATTTGAAACGTTAGTGAATCAGTGTGTGTATAATAAATTTACATTTTTATGGCATTTATTTTTAAATATTTTATAAAATGTTTGATATATAGGCCTATGTAATTTGCTCAATTCTAATACACAAAAACCGATATAAATCGATTTATCTAAACATAAGTTAGTCTTTTCGTTTTAAAAATTGTGAGATTGTTGTTTATACAGTACTTTGGAAATTTTCTACAGATGGTTGAGATAGATTTATACGACATTGGTCCAGAGTCATCAGTTTTTATATTAAAACGTTTCCTTACATTTTGACAAGTTTTACCGAAAAAAATGTTATTTATTAATTTAAAAAAAACACTTATCAAAATCATTTGTCGATTCCTGTCTTTTTTGATTATTAAAAAAATACATACAGTAGAGCGTCGTTTATCCGAATCAATTGGGGACTGGGGTGGTTCGGATAACTTATTTTTCGGATAATGAATCATGTACGAAAAAATATATTAATTTATCCCATGTTGAAATTTCTCTCCGTTGCGAGTCGCTTCGCGTTGAATTTTCATCGATGTTAAGCCTAACGAAGACTATTGTATCGTTAAAAATTATTTTTTGTTTTGTACAAACAAAATAAATTTATTGAAAAATATAAAAATAATAAAAAATTATATTTCAGATGTTAATTTAGTATCAAAAACGTAAAATATTTGAGTAGCCCGAGAAATAGCCGAAGATTGCAGCGCCACAGCACTAGCGGAAATTTAAATTTGCCGACTGGAATGCTTTCGGATAAACGACGCTCTACTGTATTTCTTAAATCATGCATCTTGATTAAATGCTCTAAACTCTATGAATTTTGGTTAATATTAAATCTTCTTCTAGATAAAACTTTAAATTTCTATAGTGTATTACATAGTTTTGTTTGTCAAAAAGAGTAGGAATTAATTTTTTATTATTATATTTTAAATTTCATTTAGTTAATACCGAATTTTGATAATTTGATAATAAATCATACGGAATATTAATAATCTCTGGAGCTAACGATAAATCATTATGTCTATGGTGGACATTTTCAGGATATTTAATTAAGATTACTTCCAAAAAATATAACCAATATTATTTTTATCTAGTAATTACAAAACAATAAAAACCACGATAATACATTGATAAACGAATTATTACAAAATAAATAAATTATATATATACTAGCAGATTAGCCCGGTGTTGCTCGGGCAAAAAGTAACGATAGCGAAGATTAAGATTATATTAATTAAATTATCAACAACCGTGAGGCAGATAATAGTGAGGGCTTATCAGACCAATGAGGGCACAAACGCTCAGGGATCAAAGTGAAAACAATTTAATAAACACAAAAAATTACTACATAAGTGTGAAAACGAAAACCAAAAATGCATATCAGACTATTTTCTCGATAGAAAATAGTCCCTCATCAGTTGGTATTAACTAAAGGTAATGCTATATTAGAATTATATAAGGTAACGATCAACTTAAAACTAAGCCTAAAGCTATACAATATAAAGATGAAAACGCCGTTATAACAGTATGAGCAGTAAGCATTATCAGTGTAGACAGGTGTAATAAATCTTCATGACTTTGCATGGTGGAGTGACATACAGAGTGCTGATATCAGCACCCTGTTATTACAGCCAATCTTACCCGTTTTCACAGAATGCAAGAATTAGGTCCCCCTATTTCCAGACTAATTAAAAAAAATTTAGATGGGTCTAAAAATATGTTCGATTTCCCGCTAAAATGCAAAAAAAACCGCATCTGCGCCTGTAAATCTTGCATGTTGCTTTCTCTTAACACTTATATTGTTACTTAACACTTATTGTTGAAGCCTTAATCCTATCCCTCTCCCCCTCAGGGGGATTTCGAAAAGTCCCTTCTTAGTGTACAGTACGTTCTCGTGACGTACCCTAATTGTGTACTGTACAGTATTAAGTAAGTTTTAGAATTTTGTTTTCTCTTGTATATTAAATATCCATATTGAAAGGATATCAAAGAATCTGTAAGAATTAAAAGTAAAAAGTATAATGACCAAGTGATATTACATCTATCCCATTATATAAATTTATCGTAAAATGGGGGGAGGATATTTTTTGAAGATGTTGTCAGTACATGATTTTTACTTTTAATTCCGTATTGTTGATGTCTTGTATTTGTAATAAAACCTCCCTTATATTTTTCATGATTGAAAGTTTATACAACAGATTTTTTTAAAATTCCTTTAGCTGTTTTTTATTTTGATTGTCGAAAATATAAGAATACATTTTTGGTTTAAATGAACAAATTTCAATTATTGGTTTTGATAAAGTTTAATCTTTAAAATATCCTAATTTATTTTAGTTTGTTACATTATATAATTTATGAGTTTTTAGATAGTTGCTAAAATCAAAAATATGGAAGTGATTTAAAGTCGTCATGAACATTATTTGTGTAAATTTGAAACGTTAGTGAATCAGTGTGTGTATAATAAATTTACATTTTTATGGCATTTATTTTTAAATATTTTATAAAATGTTTGATATATAGGCCTATGTAATTTGCTCAATTCTAATACACAAAAACCGATATAAATCGATTTATCTAAACATAAGTTAGTCTTTTCGTTTTAAAAATTGTGAGATTGTTGTTTATACAGTACTTTGGAAATTTTCTACAGATGGTTGAGATAGATTTATACGACATTGGTCCAGAGTCATCAGTTTTTATATTAAAACGTTTCCTTACATTTTGACAAGTTTTACCGAAAAAAATGTTATTTATTAATTTAAAAAAAACACTTATCAAAATCATTTGTCGATTCCTGTCTTTTTTGATTATTAAAAAAATACATACAGTAGAGCGTCGTTTATCCGAATCAATTGGGGACTGGGGTGGTTCGGATAACTTATTTTTCGGATAATGAATCATGTACGAAAAAATATATTAATTTATCCCATGTTGAAATTTCTCTCCGTTGCGAGTCGCTTCGCGTTGAATTTTCATCGATGTTAAGCCTAACGAAGACTATTGTATCGTTAAAAATTATTTTTTGTTTTGTACAAACAAAATAAATTTATTGAAAAATATAAAAATAATAAAAAATTATATTTCAGA